GTGATTTGGTAGCGCTCGACATAACCTAATATCTGCAATTTATATCGAGTGCTAGGTGTTTTGTGCTAAAATCAACGGAAAATAAACTTACATCACGTTTATCAATTCATCTATTAACTGAATATAGACGTTTCGCCGCCCCACCATTTTTTATCGACATTTTTTTTCATAATTTTCAATCTCCCATTTTTCAGCAAACAACATGATTCATAGGTAGAGAATTTTATTATCAAGTCCGTAAGTTGCCTATTCTTGAGAGCATGTCTGATATAGACACACCATTGTTGACATTTTTTTACTTTTTTATTCCCATTTTATATTCGACGCCGTCGAGTTTTTGTTGCTTTTTTGTTTGTTTTTTTTTTTTACACATAGTATTAGTTGATTCAATCGTGTCATATTATCGTCATACATTTAAAATGAAAACGCGACCCGAAACCTCTCATACGAAATATTGCCGTTTATTTCATCCCAGACTTGATCAACCACCGTCGCCCCGTGTGTTTGTGGCTTTGTTGCTTTCCCTGAGATGTGAAGTCTACATACCCGTGTGTATCTAAGAGATTGTTCTCTCTGGGATTTGTTCTTGTTTGTCATGCAGTTCTTAGCCACGCGTTTACACCTCAGACACATCTGCGTCGGTCACGTATCCTCAGCCCCTGAGGCGGATTTTCGCTGGGTGGCTCGGGGTCATTTGCCAGCCCAGTGCACCTGGCTTATCATAAGAAAGCTTACTGACAGACCTCAGCATCATCGAACGCGAGTTGTTACACTACAACAGTATTAATTGGTCCGAAACGAAGTGTTATCATGTTTATTATATTTTTTTAATTTCTCACTTTTTTTCACCCAATAAAAGTCCTAAGAGCCACTTAAGGAAGAGGGTTACGGTATGAAGTCGTATTAGCATAAGACATACCAAGATAACAGGAAAGATAGCTAATTCTTGGATTGAAGTGGCCAAGATTTAATTAGCAAATAAATCTTCAGGGTTCAGGTCGAGACGTTAGTTGAAATACATTTTAGAATGTGCCGGAAACCCAATCCTAACGATGAAACAAGGGATGAACCTCTACTCCTGTTCAAAAAAAAGCCTGGGGGTGAATCGGACGATAGGCAAAGCTATCTACTCCTATTTTTGAATAGTTTATATTTTATGTTTTGTATGGATTTTTCTCGTAATTTTCACATGGTTTTAGATTTACTTAACGACCGTCAAATTAAAAAGCAACAAAAAAAGATGAAAACAATCGTAAATTAAGTATGCCGACGCTTTAGTTAAAATTGACATATTTAATACCACGAGGGGATATTAAAAAATAAGTTGGCTGCGAAATAACCATTAGAATAGACAAGGCAAGTTATAACGAATTATTTTTTAATCAATTCAAGGCGATAATGCCACTAAGACGAAAGGGGATTACTGGGTGTGAAAGTGAATGAGAAAACTTTGCATGAAATCAGAAACCCAATCCTAAACAGAATAAATCTGTACTCCTGTTCAATAGACGGGGGAGAAGTGTGAACTAGACGATAGGCGAAACTATCTACTACTATTTGTTATTATTAGATACAAAAAAAAGTGTCGGTTAAAAATAGGATTGATTAATAGTATTCCATATACCTGAATAAATTCTTATTTTATTACTTTGCATCATTATATGAGCTCCTTGATATTCTATAATCTTCATCAATTTTTCATCAATTACTTTTGTTAAAGATCTGATGCTGGATTCTAAAATACATTAAGATATTTTGATAATTTGATTTGATATTTAGAAATGTGTTGAGTCGATAACTTTTAACCATTCCCACTATATGCAAGGGTTGCTCCGTAAGTAATACCTCTGTCATTATGTTACCAAGTGTAACATATTTTTTAATCATTTCCCACTAAACAAACTACCTACTCCAATTTTTAGCAAATTTTATATTTTATTTTTTGTATCGTAAATTTCACATGGTTTTACATTTACTTAACGACCGTCAAATTAAAAAGCAACAAAAAAAGACGAAGACAATGGCAAATTAAGAATACTGACGCTTAAGTTAAAATTTACATATTTAATACCACGAGGGGATATTAAAAAATAAGTTGGCTACGAAATAACGATTAGAATAAACAAGGCAAATTATAACGAATTTTTTAATCAATTCACCCCAAACAAGGCGATAATACCCCAAAGACTCAAGGGGCTACTGGGAATGAAAGAGAATGGAAAGACATTAGAAGAAATCTGAAACCCAGTCCTAAAGAGGATAAACGTTTTCTCTTGTTCAATAGACTGAAGAGGAATGTGGAATAAATGATAGGCAGACATATCTACTCCGATTGAGAAAAACATAAATAGTAAATAAAATTTAAGAGTTTAGGCGGAGACTTTATAAGTATAGATTTGGAGTACACTTTAGAAGGAACCGGAAACCTAATCTTATCAATTCACCCCATGCAAGGCGATAATGCTACTAAGACGTAAAGGTTTATTGGAAGTGAAAGAAAACGAAAAAAAAATTAGGTGAAGTAACCGGAAACCCAATCCTAAACAGGAAACAAGGGATATACCTCTTCTCCCCTTTCAAAAAGACTGGAGAGGTGTGTGAACAAGATGATAGGTGAACCTATCAACTCCCATGAATATGTTCCATCTTGACTGGACAGTAGCAATAAATGGGGTCTGGCTATTTACTGCACCTAGTTAATTTTATTAGATATGAAACAATATGAATCTCTTCATTATTTTGCATCTCGTAAACTCATTCAGTTTCGGACATTTATATAATTTAACACTGAACCATCTGTTAAAGCTAAACACGACATTTAGGAAGCCGAGGACGCTACATACTCGTGTGTCTCTCTTGGTTTTGTCCTTGTTTGTTTGTCATGTGGCTCTTATCCACACTTTCACATCTCAGACACAGCTGGGCCAGTCACGTATCCTCCTGACGTCCTTTAAGGTGCAGATTTTCGCTTGGTGGAGAAACGTATATATTGAGTGAATTCGACGCGTATTATTGGACGTTCGAGAACGATTACAGACCATTCGTCAAAAAATATTTTTGTTATCCACTGTTTTACGACTCATTTGTGTGGGTGCTTCCCTCAACAATGTCTTCTTCAAGCCAAGTGTTAGCCTAGTCTAGTCGACTTCTATTTTTCTCCCAAATGCTAAGCTAAAGTCGCCGTTGACACATTGTGGATGAGGTTAAGAAGAGTGCAACGAGGCAAAATTGATGATTTTAAATAAGAGAAGTCTGGTTATGTTTGTGTAATCGTAAAAGGAGTACTTTGATGCGGACTAAGATGCAAGGGTTTGCTTATTTTTTTCGATGAAGTTGTTGAATACTTTCTAGACAGATTATTATCTACATAAATTTTTTAAAATATTGTAATTTCTGGGGCTAGAAATCACTTTCAGAGAGGAAGCAGTTGTTAATTTATAATTAATAAGATTCTAAATGTAAGCATTTTCAGGGTTATTTGAACGTAAGAAAATATAAGGACATAACCCCATTTGTGAAATTTAAAATACCAAAACGAGTTAGAATCGTATTCACGGGCAATGTTTATCTTCTTCCCTTCACGGTGTAAAATAGCTAAACAGCAAATCCCATCAAAATTTTAGCCAAACCAAAAAATACATCTCCGTATTCCATCATCACAATCATCATTTATACGCTTTATCTCTTTAGCACGTAGAAGAAATTGTCTCTTGACAACTTCCTGGCCATTTTTATTTCTAAGCAACGTTTTACATATTAGCGCCCTTCTTTGACTCTGATCTACATTCTATCCATATACATTCATTTTGTAAATAACTCACTGTCTACAATTACTTCCGTGTACCTCTCCTTCCTTGTGAGTATTAAAAATTCTCGCTGTCCTTACAGATACTGTCTCAGAAAGCCACAAGAGCCTCTTCCTGGTTTTAAGTATGAATGTCTTTCCAGTTCCCATTTTCTTCAGATCTTCTTCGTTGCCAACATGTTCAGTCTATGGTATTTCCACCATCCGTCTGTGGAACCACATAACCGTCGATTCGAGACACTTCTTCATCTGAAAAAGTCCAGTAGTCACTGCCATTATAAGATGAAATATATAACACCAGTTCAATATTCAGGATTTCTTAGTTTCTCGAAGACATTTATTTCTTTGAATTTCTGTATCACATTTTGTATTGTCTGTTCGAGCGTTTTACAGATAACTAAATGTTTGCAAATGCTTGATTTTGACGTCTCTGATTTGAAACTCGCACCTTTAGCAGTCTCCAATGTTGACAACCGTATATTGTGTTTTTTTTAGCTAATAATCAATCAATAGTTACCTCAAAATACTAATTCATCTTAGGTTTACTATTCTCTCACTGCATAACTGAATTCTTCCTTCCATACATCTGTTTTGCACAGACTTTGGAAGCTTTCTCCCAGGCCGTTAATCTCACAGAGGTCATCACCAACAAAACTCATGTACAGTGATAATCAAAATTTAGTAATGAGTACCTCGTTGTGGAGCGAAATTTAGCGATTTAGTCTAGCAAGCCATTATTATTATAATTAATTTGATTCTAACTGGATGTCCCAAACATGGGGCATTACGCCAGACATGAGCAAAACTTTGTAAATAATTATTTTGAAAACAGATGAATATATTATTTTTATATATATATTAGGTATCAAGTTATGAGAAATATTATATATATATATATATATATATATATATATATATATATATATATATATATATGTAGTGTGTGTGTGTGTGTGTGTGTGTGTGTGTGTGTGTGTGTGTGTGTGTGTGTGTGGACTGGATCTAACTGCAAAATTGTCTTAATGTGTAACAGCATGGAATAATTGTCATCCCAGAAAATGTTTAATGTCTAAAAACCACTAAACTAATGGAATTCCTTTTTCCAGGTTTTCAGATAAGATGTTTAGCCATCTTGAGACCATTTGTCGCAAGAATCATTGAAAAAAATATTTTGAGTTACACAGCTAGAAGTAGA